CCCTATATAGATGTCTAAGGGTAAATAATAGCCTCTCTGAATGTACTTTCTACCTGATGACCAAGATGCTTGAGGCCAGGTGAGAGGAGAGGGATGTGTGAGGCCACGAAGCCAAGGGCTCCTCTGTCCCCACAACCCAGAGAATTCGGAGACTAGAGAAGACCAGGGGCTTCTCCAGGGGTACTGCTAGCTGGCAAAATGGCCAAATTCTCACTCGTGAGTTTCCCTTTTCTAGACTCCACAAAGATCCTCTGTTAACACTGTCCATCTCAGAGGTTACAATGGAGAATAAATTTCTCTCACTTTGGGTTATATTTTCCTGAAATTGCCCCTTGGTCACCTTTTTTGGACTTAGAGTTACCAAATCTCTTCAGTCCCACAGTTCTGTCTCTTTGGATGGGGTTACTTTCTACAGATGCCTTTCCCCAAGCTTGGAGATATTACAGATTCTTCCTAGTTTTACTCTTGTACCTCTGTCGAATTATGATGATAGTCAACATGAAAACTATATAAAAATAAGACTATATCCAAAAGAACAGACAAAACATGTCCACTCAAAAGCCTGTATATGAATATTTGCAGCAGCACTATTCATAATATAAAAATATGAACATCAGCTGATAAATGGATAAATAAAATGTGGTATATCCATACGATGGAATATTCAGCCATAAAAAGGAAAGAAGTGCTGATGAATGTCACAATGTGGATGAATCTTGAAAATGTTCAGCTAAGTGAAAGAAGCCAGAAACAAAAGAACACATATTACATGGTTCCATTCATAAGAAATGTCCAGAATAGGCAAATCCGTAGAGACAGAAAGTAGATTAGTGGTTGCCAGGGGCTGGGTGGAGTGGGGAGTGACTGCTAATAGACATGAAGTTTCTTTTTGGGGTGATGAAAATATTCTGGAGCTAGTTAGTGGGGATAGTTGCACAATTGTGTGAATATACTAGAAACTACTGAGTTGTATACTTTAAAAGAGTGAATTTCATAGTATGTGAATGACATCTCAATTAAGCTGTTATTAAAAAAATAGAATGCCACTTTCTTCCCAAAGCAGTGAGATCTCCAAAGACACAATATAAAATAGGAGTGGTTGCACAACACTGTGAATGGACTAAATGCCACTGAAGTGCTCACTTTAAAACGGTTAATTTTATATTTTCTGAGTCTCACCTATAAGTTATTTTTAAAAATAATAGGAGAAGGTTCTTCACAAACTAGAAAAATCAGCTCTTCTCTCTCTCCCCACAAGTATCTATACGTTTTCCTTGTTTTGCAACTCTGTGGCACTCACTGGCTGTAGTTAGGAATGGGTTAGATTCCAAACTCTTCTTTGGAAGCCAGTTCTTCAGGTACATGTTTTCTCATAAAATGGTGCTCTAGGCGGTGGCGATTCTTTACTTATGGTCTTATAATAACAGGGTCCCATACAGCCTAATTGGTGTGGAGTTTTGGCAGGGACTTTCAGAAGCAGGGCAGGGAACACCACCTGCGGGGCTGCTCCCTCATTCTCCTCTGAGCCCTGGACCAATCCTGGGCTCTGAGAGAGGTGAGGGGCATGGAGAACAGGTAGCAACTGATGAGGAGAATAACGGTGGAAGGGAAGTTTCTATAGAGGTGCTGGAGACAGCAAGCTCTGCCGGCAGGCTGTGGACAGGCTTTTGAGGACAGCATAGCGTATCTGTGCCCGTCTGCACCACGCACTCTGTCCTCACATCCTGTCCACTCAGGGCACAGTGCAGCTATGTTTAGAGGAGCCACAGTATGCCTGCTTGTAGACACCCTTGCAGTCTGTTCAGCCCCAGCAGACCTTGGCCCTCCCTTACTTGCACCATGCATCTTCCTGCCAACAACCTATCCCTGCTTTGTACCATAGTCTATCCATGGTTCTGACAGAACAGCTTCATGTAAGACAAAAATCTGATCATATAAAATCCTTAGCATAGCCAGGGAAAGCAGAACAAGACAGGACCAGCCCTGTCCCATGCTGGCCCTGCCTCTCCTCCAGTACATGAGCTTTTACAATAGTTCTGGGCACGTGTGTGGTTTCCCACATGTCCTTCTACCCATCTGGAAGGCCTTCACCAAGTCCGCCTGATAAATCCTGACAGTCCCAAGGCCACCCACCCACTGCCGTCACTGGCTGTAGCCCTCCAGCCGTTGGCCAGCTGTCTGTCCCTTCCTAGTCTGTGGCAATGGAAGCATCAAGATGTCTATCTTCTCTGCTAGTCTGTAAGTGCTCCAAGCCCCCAAAGCCTCATGTGCATTATCTTATTTCCTCCTCAACAATGCTTTGAGCTTGATTCTATTATTCCTGTTTTACAGATGAGAAAATGGAGGACTCAGATGTCAGGTGACTCGTTAGAATCTGCTTTCTTCCAGAACACTAGGCTCTCCTTTCTCCATCAAATCACAACCTGAGTTTTGTTCGGTACTAACTCTAAAAGCAGGTGCACAGAATAAAAAATCCAAAAGGCCTCAACAATGAACAGTGCTCAGTCTCATGAGAGAGAAGGGGATGTGAATAAAGCATTCAGGTCACAGATTTTTTGCTGTTCATAAAAATCATAAAAAAATTCAGTAATCTAGTGGTGGGCAAGGGTGGAAGAAACAGGCCCTCTCAGATATTACTTTTGGAAGTGTGAATTTTTGTACAGTTTCCAGATATTAATTTAGCAATATCTTTTAATATTAAAGATAAAGAAACCCTTAGTGTGGCCACTTTGGAAAACACTTTGGCATTTCTTCAAAAAGGTTAAACACAGTGTTTATGTTTGATCAGCATATGACCCAGCAATGCCACTCCTGGATACATAGCCCAAATTTGAAAACAGGTGTTGAAACAAAAACTTGTCCAAAATATTCATAGCAGCCCTATTTACAATAGCCAAAAAGTAGAAACAACCCAACATCCATCAACTGATGAACAGATAAACAAAATGTGGTACATCCATAAAAGGAAATATTCAGCCATAAAAAGACATGAAGTACTGATACATGCTACATCACTGACGACTCTGATCATCATGTTAAGTGAAAGAAGCCAGACACAAAAAACCATATAATGTTTGATTCCATGTACGTGAAATCTATAAAAGGCAAATCTATAGAGAAAGAAAGTAGATAAGTATTTTCCTAAGACTAGGGTGTGGGGAGGTATGAGAGAGGGCAGAGTGTAAGGGGAAGTGACTGACAATGGTCATGAAGACAGTGTTCTAAAATTAGATTATAGCGATGGTTGCACAACTCTGGGAATATATCAAAACATTATAAATGAGTGAATTGTAGAGTATGTAAGTTATATCTCAATAAAGTTGGTTAAAAAACACATGACCCCTAAGACCCTGAAATCCTCTTCTAGGGAAATCAGTAGGGGTTGATGTTGAGAAGGGTGTTTATTTCAGCCTTGTTTATAAGTGCAAAGAGAGGGCATCTTGGATGCCCATCCATGCAGGGGCAGTTTATTTGTATGAGGGAATATTATTTGATGATTACATTGTTGACTTAGATCCTATCTACCTGCCTGAATGGACGTCTCTGCTAGAGAACTAAGTGAGGAAAGCCTGGGACAGAGTCACATGGAGCAAACCTTCCTGTCTATAAAGGCACACATGTCCCTCCGAAGGGGCAGGCATGTGTACTCCTGTGTGCACGCAGTCTAGCAGGGGGTGCATGGCAGGAGATAGCTACCTTTCTTTTTACTCATCTTTCACTAATCCCAATGGACATATGTTACTTTTATCACTAAAAAATTTTATGAAATTAAAGCCTATAGTATTAATGCTATTTTCAGCTCCAGACATATATTCAAACAGCTACTGAAACATCTCCTTCTCAAATATATCAAAAACACCCAAACTCTCCAAATACGGAACTGAGATTGCTCCCTCAAAGCTGGTCTCTTCCCCCACACACTACTTCACTGAACAGCACCACCATTGCCTTGCCATCTACGCCGGATCTTAGAGGGTGCACATACAATCCACCCTCCATGAATGCCTTCCTCCCTCTGCACTGCATTCATTACTCAGTCTGCCAATTTTCCTTTTAACTAAGTCCACTCCTGGGTTGACTTCTCTACCGCACTGGTCTCACCCCTTTAGACTAGTGCCTGCCCTCCCAGTGGCTAACCCCTAGGCCCTGGCCCCTCCACTCTGCTATGGAAATCGGACCATGTGTCTCTCTGTCAAGATGACACAGCACACTCCTGACAGGGCTGCCCACTCACCTGCACGGCTGGTCCCTCCAGCCTCGTCCCAGGTAACCCCTATATACAGCTGCCTTTCCGTCTCCTTCTAGGCTGTGGTGCATACCTAGTTTGTCCTGTCAGCAGTTTTTATGAGTTCTGTTCTCTTCCCACCAGACATTCTTCCTGCTCCCACCCCTTCACCTAATTACCTTCCTTCTACCCTTCAGATCTTGGCTCAAGGCTCCTGTCACTAGGGAGACTTCCGTGATGTCTCTGACAAGGTGAGGTCCTGGTGACAGGCACTTGGAGCACTCAGACACTGTAGGTCTATATTTGGCTGTGTGCATATCTGACTAGTGTCTTTATATACAGACTATAAGTCCGAGAGGCAAGCACTTTTTCTGACTTTTTGTTTTTTTGGCTGGGAAAGATTCGCCCTGAGCTAACATCTTTTGCCAGTCTTCCTCCCCAAAGCCCCAGTACACAGCTGTATATTCTAGTTGTAAGTTCTTCTAGTTTTGTGTCAGCCATCACCACAGTATGGCTACTGACAGATGAGTGGTATAGTTCCACACCCAGGAAACCAACCCAGGCCACCAAAGTGGAATGCGCCAAACTTGAACCATTAGGCTATCAGGGCTGGCTCACCTCTTCTGATTTTGTTCATTATGTAGCCAATGCCTGGAACATGTCAGGCACTCAATAAACACTTGTTGAATAAGTGAGCAAATGAGTAAATGAATGTAAAATAAGTATGATATTTAAGCAAATATAAATACCATTTCCATCAAGATTGACTACCAACCTTGAACGCTGCAAATGGAGTTGACCTGAGTAACAGAATCCAGTTCATCGAGCTTCACAGGGCCAGTCAGCTCACAGGAGCAAGCATCAGAGGCCACACCCAAAAGTGGCTTTTGAAGCATGAGGACAGTTCGTTCAACACAAACAATCTGACCTGCCAACAAAGACACTTCAGATTATTGAAGCACTGAAGAAAAAGTGAGTTCTCTTGCTCGTAATGACAGTGTCCTTGGCCAGCTTCCTACAAGTCATGTGGGCTGAGGGGCACAGCAGTGGGGCCCATCCTTTGTGTCCAGCGACACATACACTGTGCAGAAAGGAAGCCCCAAAGCCCCTAGTGTGCTCTGCTGGAAAAGCACACAAATATTAGATGCAAATTCAATTCAGAAAGGAGAATTTTGTGGTATGCAAATTATACCCAATAAAATAAAAAAATTACACAGTTTAGGCAGGATTCTAGTTTGATTCCTGGAAAAATAAGGAGTGACTGATCTAGTATTTATTGATCTAATGTTTATAATATTCTAGCTTTTCGTTTGTTTTAAAAAGTGATGTTTCAGGCAATGGCTTCAGATAGCTTCTGCACCTATAAAGTATGCTTCCAAGAGATAATTCTTGAGTGATAAATAGCATCTCTCACAGGATATGTCAGCACTGCAGGCAGTTCCGGTTCGGTCTTGGTGGCCATGACAGGGGTCAGTGAAAGACCAAGGCTGGTACCATGGGCCTCTTCCACTCCACACCCCTCGTCCACAGTGTGCTTCAAGAAATGTCCAGTAGTTTCAGAGCAAGAAAGAGGCAACCAGAAGCTACAAGCTATTTTATGGCAGCTCTTAGTCGCCACTGGATCAAAGCTGTCAAGAAGAAGAAAGCATACCCTGGTCTCGGAGAGCATCCTTGAAGAGGAAGGTGTGGGGGGCAGCCTCACTGAGCGCTTCCAGGACTTCTGGGTCCAGTACACATGAGGAGGCCACACAGACTGGGACGGTTTTGGGGAGGCCAGAGTTATTCTCATCTTGCATTTGCAGGGTGACATCAGTCACCACCAGACAAATCTCCCTTTGCTACAGAAGAAGCAAACTGTTTAGCTACAATTCAGAGTAAAGACTGTTAACTTAATAGCTCTTCTTATATCCCAAATTATTTTTTACAAAGCAATAATCATAGGTGATTATCATTAACACTAACAATTTTAGATATCATTTCAACAAATATTTTTTAAAATATATAATAGACTTTGCACATCTTGGTCACTAGCCCCACCGACATAGCTGTGCCCCGTGAGCCCCAAACTTGTACCTGTTTCAAGGGCTCCTCTGCTGGGATACAATCCACCTTTCCCTGGTACTGATCTACTTGTCCTCTGACTCACTCAGGAAAAACTCATTTTTCTTTCCCTCCTGATCCCGTATTCATACACCTAGAATGCTAATTACCATGTTGTTTTATATTTAGTACATATATATTCTTCTCTCCTGCTAGATGTAAGTTTTCTGAGGGTTAGGAATTGTTATGAACTGAATGTTTGCATCTCCTTCAAATTCTTATGTTGAAGCCCTAACTTCTAGTGTGATGATAAGGGGAGGTAGGGCCTCTGGGACATAATTAGGTCATGAGGAGGGAGCACTCGTGATGGGATGGATGAGTGCCCTTATGAGAAGAGACACGAGCAGGTGAGCTTGCTTCCTCTCTTTGCTTGCCACATTGTGAGGATACGAGGAGATGTCCCTTGTGAACCAAGAGGACAGCCCTCACCAAGAACCTGACCATGCTGACACTTTGATCTCAGACTTCCAGCCTTCAGAACTGTGAGAAATGTTTGTTGTTTAAGCCATCCAGTCTATGGTATTTTGTTATAGCAGCCCAACCTAAGACAGTAATGTATCTCATTGGCCCTCAGACTTTGCATTTTGTATAAAGCAGGTATCAAATATTTGTTGTATCTGCAACAGTTTTTGTTTTTCTCCTTTTTTTTTTCTTCCCTTTTATTATTTTTTTTCATTTTTTTAATCTGCAAAAGTTGCAATGTCTTTTAAACTTCATTAAAATGGCATTCTGCCTTTTCTCCTTGGTCAGGGTTTAGGATTCAGGGATTCAAGTGAATGGGGCCAAGGATTTCACTGGGATGACCCTCATGGTCAGCAGGGCTGGGCCATGAGAATCTGGCTGGCTTGAGGTTTAGTTGGTGTTGCTGGTGTGAACGATGTGGTCAGGTTGAGGATTTCACATAGCTGGCTGACTGGGCAGAGAAGGTGACTTGCACAGTTAGGAGCTGTGGGTTGGGACGGAGGAGGCAGCTCACATGGCTGGGAGGTTGACTGCATACAGGAAGTTAGAGTAAATTATATTGAGGAAAATGAAAGCCAGGTTTCTCACTGTTAGATAAGGGAGTTATAAATTTCAAAATGGGGAAACCTAAAGACAATTCTGTGGTAATGGTCTACAGTTGGAGGTATTGGTGTAAAATCATGATTTTAGATAGAGATAGATAGAGAGATAGATGGAAAGAATGAAAGAGATATGGATTTATGTGTCTGTGTGCATAAGTATACACACACATATCTCCTTGCTCTGTCCATTGAGAGGACCTAGAAGCAATGACATCCCCGTAGCAATGAGCCCACCTAATACCCAGATCTTGTCTTCTAATGCCATTCTCCATTAAAATCAACCAGGGCTCCTTAAAGAAATGGCTGATTCTAGAGCAGAGAAAATACAAGATGAGTCTGAAACATCTTACTGTGTTAGAAAGTCAGGAAGTACTCAAAGAATGATGGAAACATGTCCAAAGGACACAGGAGCTGGCTTGAATTGGGGAAATTTGAGCATCAAAATAAATGATAGTTAACATATCATAACCCATTGGATAAAAACTGAATCCATTGGCCCATACTGACATAAATAAGTGAATACATAAATAAATCAGGGAAATGAAAAGCTCCTAATTATAGCTGAATGCCAACTAATAAATATAGAAGAAGTGCTGGAATTAGAAAGTTTTCATTTGGCCACCATCAGAGTAATAATTCAGGCAAGAATCACATGGATGTTAAAATGAGAGGGTAAAAGTTTGATAAGAAATAGGATATTTATACAGTCTTAATGTATCTTCTGACAAAATACTTATTTCATAGTTATTAATTAATATAGATGAAATACTTATTAGTTAACTTTAGAGTGAAGAAACCTGAAAAGCACTATCTTAACCAACTGATAAAAGATCACGGTGCAAGGACAAATCAACTGTGTGCCTCCTGATATGAACATAGTATTGTTAAGTGGTGCTCCTGTCAAAAATGCATAACCTGAATCTTTTCCTGAGATAACATCAGGAAAATCTAAATGGAGGGACATTCTATTAAGTAACTGATGTCTATTCTTCAAAAATGTTAAGATCATAAAAGAAAAGATGAAGAAACGTTTTATCTGAAGGAGATGAGAGAGACATGACAGCTAAGTACTACACATGATCCTCTATTGGACTATAGAGTTGTAAAGGATTTTTGGGGGGACAATTGGCAAAATCACATTTTAAAAAAATGGCAGATATCTCAGGAAGGACAAAGATTTCTAAAAGATTATCTGAGGTTGGAAGTTCTTCTGACAGTCTTCAAAGATTTTAGATACTTTTTATAAATAGCTTGGATTTGGCTTATTGTCTCTTCCAATCTCTTGATGAACCAAAATGGTCTAATTTCCTTTGAAATTAACTATCAAGTTATCTTTACCATTGGGGTTATGAACAAAGTCAGTAATAAAATCCTCTGTAAAAAGACAAAAAACCCAAATGATTCAAAGCAGTACTATCAATCTTATTGCTAAAATTTTATTAAAAATAGATCTCTTCCCCACAAACATGCTCAATTAATTTTTGACAGAGTTGTGAAAGCAATTCAATGGAGGAAGGGTAGCCTATCAACAAATAATGCTGGAACAATTGGACATGCTTAGGCAAAAAAAATGAACCTTGAACAAAACCACACACCTTATAAAAAACTGACTCAAAATGCATCGTGGACTCAAATGTAAAATTATAAATCTTCTAGAAAAGAACATAACAGATAAATTTTGGGACCCAGGACTAGGTAAAGAGATTTGACTTGTCTTAGACTTGACAACAAAAGCATGATCTATAAGCAGAAAAATCAACAAATTTGACCACATAAAAGTTAAAAACTTTTGCTCTGCAAAAAATCCTGTTAAAAGGATGAAAAGACATCTATGGACAGCTAATCTTCGACAAAGGAGCTGAGGGCCTACAATGGAGAAAAGAAAGTCTCTTCAACAAATGGTGCTGGGAAAACTGGACAGCCACATGTAAAAGAATGAAAATCGATCATTCTTTTTCACCATTCACAAAAATAAACTCAAAATGGACTTAAAGATTAGACCTGAAACAATAAGTCTTCTAGAAGAGAATATAGGCAGTACACTCTTTGACATCAGTTTCAAAAGAATCTTTTCGGACACTATAACTCCTCAGATGAGGGAAACAATAGAAAGAATAAACAAATGGGACTTCATCAGACTAAAGAGTTTCTTCAAAGCAAGGGAAAACAGGATTGAAACAAAAAAACAGCCCACTAATTGGGAAAAAATATTTACAAGCTACTTATCCGACAAAGGATTAATATCCATAATATACAAAGAACTCACACGGCTTAACAACAAAAAAACAAACAACCCGATCAAAAAATGGGCAGAGGACATGAACAGACATTTCTCCAAAGAAGATATAAGTATGGCCAAGAGACACATGAAAAGATGTTCATCATCCCTAATCATCAGGGAAATGCAAATCAAAACTACACTAAGATATCACCTTACACCTGTTAGATTGGCAAAAATATCCAAAACCAAGAGTGACAAATGTTGGAGAGGTTGTGGAGAAAAAGGAACCCTCATACACTGTTGGTGGGAATGCAAACTAGTGCAGCCACTATGGAAAACAGTATGGAGATTTCTCAAAAAGTTAAAAATAGAAATATCCTATGACCCAGCTATCCCACTACTGGGTATCTATCCTAAGAACCTGAAATCAGCAATCCCAAGAATCCCATGCACCCCTATGTTCATCACAGCATTATTTACAATAGCCAAGACGTGGAACCAACCTAAATGCCCAGAAACTGACGACTGGATAAAGAAGATATGGTATATATACACAATGGAATACTACTCAGCCATAAAAAAGGACCAAATTGTCCCATTTGCATCAACATGGATGGACCTTGAGGGTATTATGTTAAGCGAAATAAGCCAGACAGAGAAAGACAAACTCTATATGACCCCACTTATAGGTGGAAGTTAACATATAGACATGGAGAACCGATTGGTGGTTACCAGGGAAAAGGGGGGGTGGGGGGAGGGCACAAAGGGTGAAGTGGTGTGCCCACAACATTACTAACAATAATGTACAACTGAAATCTCACAAGGTTGTAATCTATCACAATCTTAATAAAAAAAAAATTTTTAAAAAAATGATGAAAAGAAAAACTGTAGACCCTGAGAAGTATTTGCAAATCATATTATCTGACAGAGGCTTTGTATACAGAATATATAAACAACTTTTAAAACTCAACAGTAAACAAACAACAGTCCACTCACAAAATGGGCAAAAGACACATACAGACACTTCACCAAAGAGGATATACAGATGGCAAATGAACACATGAAAAGATGAACAACCTCATTAGTTCTCTGGATGACTGTCTAGAGAATTATGTTAACTCAAAAAAGCCAATCTCAAAAGGAGTTGTTACAGGTTAAACTGTGTCCCATCAAAAAGATCTATTGAAGTCCTAACTCCGATACCTCAAAATAGGGTCTTTACAAATTTAACCAAGTTAAGATGAAATCATTATAGGTGGGCCTTAATCCAATATGACTGGTATTCTTATAAAAAGGGGAAATTTGGACACAGACAGGCACAGAGGAAAGACCACGTAAAGACACACAGGGTGAAGACAGTCATCTGACTGGAGTGATGCATCTACAAGCCAAGGATGGCCAAGGATTGCCAACGAACACCAGAAGCTGGAAGAGGAAAGGAAGGATTCTCCCCCAGAGCTGCTGGAGGAAGCGTGGCCCTGCCAATACTGATTTTGGACGTCTTGCCTCTAGAAGTGTGAGACAGTAAATTTTCGTTGTTTTAAGCAATCTAGTTTTTGGTACTTTGCATGGCACACCTAGGAAACAAATACCGAAATATACTTCATGGTTCTATTTATGTAATCATCATAAAATAACTTAATTATAATGATGACAACAGATTAGTGGTTGCCAGGGGTTAGGGATGGGGAAGGAGGTAGGTGTGGCTATAAAGGGGAACACAAGGGAGTCTGTGATACAGCTGAGGGTAATGATTGTGGTGGAGATTATGCAAGCTACACACATGACAAAATTCCACAGAGGTACATACACACACAAGTGCATGTAGTATGACTGGTGAGATCTGAATCAGCTATGGATTGTGCCAATGTCAGTTTCTTGCTTTTGGTATTGTCCTGTGGTTACTGTGGGTATGGGAGGGTGGTATGGGGAAGGGTGCACAGGACCTCCCTATATATTTCTTTGCAATCTACTGTGAATCTAAAAATTTTGAATAATTTTATTCAAAATAAAAGTTAAATATAAAAAAATCTATCTTTTTCACTTTTATGACTTAGTCATTAGTATCATGGAAATACAACTGAATCTTCTTAGATAACTCAGGTTCTTGCAGTGACTCATGGTGCCATTCTAAAAGTCAACTGTCACTGTAGAATGTGTAGGCGACTGGGTTAGCTACATAGTAGCCCCAGGACTTAGCTTATTTCAATTTCTCCCCAAGTAAGTTGGTTTCTGGTGATTGTCTTTCCCACAAAAGCAGAATACAGGAGGTATAAAGAATTTTAGTGAATTGAGGAATCTGTTCCATTGGGTTCTTGGTCCTTGACAACTTCCTGACTAAGTACCACCAATCTAAAGTATACATACCCACTGAAAGCCATACTCTCTGGCAGGCTGCAGCTGCACTGATGGGAGCCTGTTTCTTGGCAGAAAACTCAGAATAGGAGGGGATCAGTGTTTTCAGCCAGCCCTGAGGCAGGGTTCCTTTACCCAGAGAGGCAGACAATCTGTAGTTTGTCATTCTCTGCCTGAGGGCTACCCTCTCACTGGGGCAGATGGTTGAGGCTTGGCCATGCTGTGAGCATTGGACACCTCCTTTCTTTCTTTCTTTCTTTTCTTTTTTTTAGGAAGATTAGCCCTGAGCTAACATCTGCTGCCAATCCTGCTCTTTTTTTCTGAGGAAGATTGGCCCTCAGCTAAGGCCTGTGCCCATCTTCCTCTATTTTATGTGGGATGCCTACCACAGCATGGCTTGACAAGTAGTGCATAGGTCTGCACCTGGGATCCGAAGTGGTGAACCCCAGGCCACTGAAGTGGAATGTGTGCACTTAACCGCTGTGCCACCGGGCCGGCCCCATGGACACCTCCTTTCTTTGCTCTCCACTTCTGGTTGTAGCTGGAGGGCTGTGGGCAGGAGTAGGCAGTAATAACAGCCACAAGATTGCTATTTATAGTGCCCCTCAGGAGAGAATTCTATCTGTAGCATAAATGGTAGCTGCATAGTGAATCACTGCCTGATGTCACAGTCCCACGACCAGGAACGTGCTTTAGAATAACAGGAATGTGCCAGGTGCCAAGTGTGCCTTAACATATTGAGTGTCCTGCAGACGATGGGCAGAGAAGTTCGCCATCAGCCTTTGGTTTGCCTCAGACTTGAAAAGTAAGAGATACATCAGGCACCTGGATGTTGTCCTTGCTGGCGGCCTGTCCTCCTGCCTGTTGAGACTGATGCTGGTCTGGGTCACGGGGCGCTCTATTGAATGACTAATGTCAATCACTCTCTTATTCCTCAGGAGAGACATTAATTAGCTGTCAAATGACTAAAAGGTGAACAGAGAAAAGGTTTTCCTGCGTCAGGACTGAACAACAGGAGGTTCTATATATCTCTCAGGTGACAGATTTACATGTATGTTCCTCTGAGTCAAGGTCCAGCAGAGGTTTCTTGCAGAACTTATGACATGTATTCAGCTTGCCAAGAACATCTCTTTCCCTTGTTCACTCCTGGCTGATCTGTTGAGTGGCAAGGAAGCAAAAACCAAGCTCCTCTAGGCTGCTGCTCCCTAGAACCGCCCAAGGCCTCACAGGGACCAGAGTTTCCTCCAACTGTGGAAGGCTCTTTGCATAGCTCAGTCCTGAGATTCCCACTTTCACCCCGTAAACAAGGTTTCAGCTTCTCTTTCCTTTCTTCAACCTGCCTGTGTGTCAGAAAGGAACACATTACTGGACTGAGAATCTTTTGGGGCAGAGTTATGCCTGAGTTGTTTTATACCTGAGTACTTAACGCAGTGGCTGGCAGTCCACACCTGCACAAGGAATGGATTTATTACTGCTTCAGCATGGGGCATGCATAACTGGACTTTAAAAATGCTTTTCTATTTTGGTACTCCATTAATTTCTAAGAGATTATCCTTTAACAAACTTTATAACACCTTATACATTATAACACCCTATGTGAAAGAGAAAGAGAGAGAGAGATTACCTGTGGTCTTTGATAAATCACTCTGGCATAGAAACTGCAACAGGTACTGAGATCATCAGTCTGGAAAGGCATTTAAAAAGATAAGGAACATCACACAAAGCACACAAATACAGCACAAGGAACTGAAGACCTTGTTAGAAACGAAGATGTTACCTGGAGAATTTCTCTTAAGCAGTGAGGAATTGGAGGCCGGTAAAGCTTAGAAATGGGGTCTTCTTCAATTATATCAATTTGTCCCAGATTTGGATGAGCAGTGAGGACGTAACAGAAGCTAGGAGGAGGGAGATGAGCTTTTACCTGCTTAAAATAAAGGCAAAGGTAGAGCGTGAATGTATTGTTAAAAGACTCAGATACACTATTAAAATTTACTCTTTAATATATATATATTCACTCACAGATGCATACCATATCTCTGGAAGGCTATATAAGAAATGGATTATATGGTTTATCTCTGAGACCAAGTATAAAAACTTTTGTACTTTTGAATTTATTACCATTCAAGATTTCATTAGGGATTTATTCTTCAGAGCATACTGAAAGCACCATTTAGAAAATTCTTCCTCTTAAATAATCTAGAAATGGGCATTTTTGACCACCATTTTGCTGGTATAGCACAGTACACAGTCACAGTGCTAGCTCTCTGCTCAGAAGTTAGCTACTACAGACACAAGACAGCCCCAGTGTTCAGCTTTGGGAGGTATGGCCCAAAGCAGCCACTGGCCAGCCTGCTGAATAAGGCCCAGGAGGGAGACATTTTAATCAGTCAATTTTGCTACTTGTGAGCAAGTGTCATAAACAATTTGAGGAGTCAGGAAAACAGAAATTCCTGGTTAACCTGGTGGTTGTACAAATATCCATGGATTTTATTTGTTAGGTTATGTGAGCTTCTCTAATTGGTAATTGAATTTTGTTTCTACTAGCAACTGAAAGGTGGTGGGGAACACACCCTGTGTCTTGTTTAGTATGAGGCTAAGGCTCTTACTGTTGCAATGGCATGCAATGATTGTGGTTTAAAAACATCATCATAAATTAACCTCCAGAAGAATATAGTGTAGCAAAGCAGAAAGAGGAGCCAAAGCTTGGACTTTAGAGTGAGACAAGTAGATCTGAATCTCTGTCCTGGTTCATATTACAAGACCTGGGCTTCTTGGGGATGTGGACTATGGGGGTGGCACCTGGATCAGCACCTGGCACAGAGCAGGCCGTGCTCAGGGGGAGTTCTTCAGATGCTGGCTTACCTCTTCACAGGCCTGGGTGTAGCCAGCTGCTTTCAGAGATATCACTGGAGGCCACATGATGTCAATCAAACTGAAAAGTCCTGCTGTCCTGGAAAAAGAGAAGATGCTGTCAAAGGTATTTACCACCAAACATAGCTTATTAAATACCTGGTCAATGAGCTGGTCCTATGTAGATCTGCTGAACAGACACCATCCCTAATGCCAAGGAGCTACCATTTGGGATGAGTGGTGACTCAGATGGGGAAGACAGTGACACAGAGACAGACAGACAAACCTTCAAACCTGACTGCACAAGAAGAGGAAGATTGTTAATTAAATTATGATACATCTGCAGAATGAAATATTATACAACCATTGAAATGGTTACATAGAAAATATTTAAGGACATGGAAAGATGTTTATGATACGTTGCTAAGTGAAAAGCAGGTAACAAATTATAATGTCTCTCTCTATGTATATATCTATGCATGTACCTACATATAATAGACCAAAAGAAAAGAAGACTGAAAGATATAAAAATGTTTTTAGTGGTTATCTGAGTAGAGCTTGGAGGTGATATTTACTTTCTTCCTTTAGCTTATATGTATTTCCTATATTTTTCCAAAACAGCTATATGTTACTCATATAATAAGAAAAATGATCAATAAGTTACCTAAAATAAAGAATATAGTCAGCTACAAAAGAACAAATACTATATGATTCCACTTGTATGAGGTCCTAGAGCAGTCAAACTCTATGAGACAGAAAGCAAAGGGTAGACGCCAGGGGTTGGGGGAGGGGCAATGGGGAGTTAGTGTTTAACGGGTATAGAGTTTCAGTTTGGGAAGATGAAAAAGGTCTGGAGATGGATGGTGGTAATGGTTGCACAACAATGTGAATGTACTCAACACTACTTACAAATGTTAAGATGGTAAATTTTATATTATGTACATTTTCTACAATTAAAAATAATACTGACTGCTTTACTTGCCAAAAAAAAGAAAATATATCACAAAGCCTTCTTAGATTTTACTTAAGTTTCAATAATGTTAATGTATAATATGCTGTTTACTTTTCTAAAAGCTTATGGCCTTAATAATTAATGTTACATATTCTTATTTCTTTCAATATTTAATAGCAAGCACTGTAGGGATCTGGCAGTTAACAAAACCAAAAAACTCAGAACTTGAAAATGAGGGTCTTAGCATCCTACTTGAACAAGACACAAAGCATTTACCCATCTCTTTTGGGTCCTCACACCAATTATGATGGAAACACCTCATGCAGTGTGTGGCCTACGGCAAACACCAAGGGTCAGTATCAGGTTCTGGGTCAAAATCTAGCACAAAAATAATAACCAAAAGGGAAAATCACATGCTAAAAAAGAACTGCCCAGTGAAAATTTACCGTCTCCCCCCGCCCAGTTATTTTTGAGAAGTGTTCTGCAGCAGCTGTCTGGGTGAGTGACAGGACAGGGCTCGGGGACCCAGGGCTGGATGAAGTCAGGAAGAGCCATCCTCGAAAGATTCAGAAGTTAGCCCATTTGATCTCTTGCTGCCCTTCTCCCAATACCAAGGAGCTGGGCATGCTGCTGCCCCTCTCTTCCCCAGACATTGTCTGCTTGCTTCAGGCCTCTTCAAATGTCACCTTCCCCAGGAGGCTCTCCTGGAACATCCTGCTTACAGCTGCTCACCATGAGCCCATGTGCTCGCCTGCTCCCAGGCTCATTTCTTTCCACTGAGCACACCATCTGACTCATGTTCCATCCCTGTCCTCTTGCTGTCTGATGTAAGGTCCCCGAGGGATAGGTACTTATCTGGTCCCTGCTGCATCTCCACTGACACAGAGAGGTGCCCAGCTCAGACAAGGTGGTCAAAAGACTTGGTGAATGAATAACTGACATACGCTATCATAACCACCTATATACTTCATTATAGACATCAGACCTAGCATATTTGATATGCTCATTTCCTATTTGTAGTCTGGAGAAAGGCAATGTTGGAAGACAAAACGGTAATTTTTTACACAAATAAATATGCCCCTAGTTCTCGCCTTAGATCTGACTGCATTTCCAAGACAGAGGTAAGACTCTACTCAAGCCTCTTGTTTGACAGGGATGGGGTACAGCATGGGCCTTTGAGTCAGACCTGTGTGAGCTCTAGCTCTGCCTTTTGCACACTGTGAAACCTTAAGAAAGTCATTTCATTCTTGGACCTTCCATCTCCCTTTCTCTAAAATGGGAAGAAATCAGTACCTCGCTGTTGGTGTCACTGCAAGGAGTAAAAGAAATAACGCATGGACAGCACCTGTTAGGGTTTCTATGCTCAGAATAATTACTCAGTATACGTTCGCCATCGAATATTCTTGTAATTATTTATATCATCAGTGTTTAGGCTATTAACTTCTATGCTGTTTTGTGCTCAAAAATTTCCCAGTTGAAGACAGGATTTTAACCCCAGACTCACTTTGTGAAGGAACAGAATAAAATTAAAGAGTATGGTAAAAACCAAGTATTCTCTTGGAACTTTCTTTGAGAAATGATAGACTACGATATAGCCTTAGAAAAGTTCTATTTGAATTTAATGATGTTTACTTATTTAGAGGATGCTAATGGTTAATTTTAAAAGTTTGGACACATTACACATTTATATTTTAATGCAGATTCTTAGGTAAAGGATGTTCATGCAGTAAATAAAATGCTTGGTCTCATAAAAAATGAGCCTCTCTACTGTTTTTAAAAATAGACATGGTTTAGATGGTTGTTGCTTTGTGAACCAGAGCCTTCGTCCTGGGCATTCATTTAAATGACTCCAGCCTCTGGGACAAACGTTGTGCTGAAGCTAACTTTTGGCACAGTGAAAATGTATTGTTCTTCCCACTACAATTCATTCCTTACTATTCATTTTAGCATGAGGTTTCATTTTGTTACACAGAAACTCATTCTTTTATTTTATTTTATTTTTTTTAAGGTTTTATTTTTTTCCTTTTTCTCCCCAAAGCCCCCCAGTACATAGTTATATATTCTTCGTTGTGGGTCCTTCTAGTTGTGGCATGTGGGACACTGCCTCAGCGCGGTTTGATGAGCAGTGCCATGTCTGCGCCCAGGATTTGAACCAACGAAACACTGGGCCGCCTGCAGTGGAGAGCGCGAACTTAACCACTTGGCCACGGGGCCAGCCCCTCATTCTTTTAAAAAAGCCATCCCTTTAAAAGCTTGCAGGTCCTGTGGTCCTGTCCAAAATGCCCATAAGGCATTTGGTCCACACCAAAAGGTCCTTGATATCTGGTCATATCTGGTCCTGTCCAAAACATCCATCAGATATTTGGTCAATGCCAAAAGGCCCTAGAAATCTGGACATATTTCGTCCTGTTCAAAACATTCATGGAGACATTGGGTCCAAGCCAAAAGGTCCTTGATATTTGGTCCTGTCCAAAACAATTTGGCATGGACCAAATATGCTCACGGACATTTTGAACAGGACCAAATGTCAAGGACGTTTTGGCATGAACCAAATGTCTTATGGACCAAATGTCTTATGGGCATTTTGGACAGGACAAAATGCCTGCTAATCCTTTGAAATATGTTTAAAACAACAAACAAGCTGTCTGACAGGGTAGAGGCTACCAAAAGTTTGTCTTTTCAATAAAAAAGTTTCAAAAATAAAATAAATGTTGAATTAAAGTAGAGGAAAAAAAGGACATACAGATTAAGTCACTATGTTTATGACACGATAAAAATCTGAAAACATTGTTTTGCCAGAATGAATTTCTTAGGATATATCTTAATTTACAGATTGCATAAAATGAATTTGCAGAAAAATCTGGGTCATTAAACTGTGACAATCAAAATTCACAGATAATTAATAAAAAATTCTTTAATCATTATATCTGGGGCATTTGGAAAATGGAGCAGACAGAAAGGAAGCTGGACAAAGTGATCATTTTCTCTACGTAGTTATTAACTTGATGAGGTTTTGCAGTAGTCAGAAGCTCTCTGACAGCAGATTCAAGATAGCTTAGGTTCAGTAGGTGAAGCTAATAATCACTAAAGGGAAATCCACACTTAGTCATGATTTTACCTGGTACTTCAAGCTGTCATGTAAAAATCAGTTGCACTTGAAGAACAGGAAGAGGAGAAGAGAACCTGGAAGCTGGAGCAGTCACATGTGGAGAAGGACGGACAGCACAGGCACATGCATGGATATCAGGGACAGCCTCCTCTGGGCACCCACTTTGGGAGCTCCGGGAACAAGGGCTTGAAAGTATGAGTTGAAGAACACATGGCTACTTTCAGAGTCAGGAGGCACACCACACAGCAGGAGCTGGCTGAGCCCAACAACCTTTCTTAAACTCACATCTGAGGAAATCAGAAAGCTTCTAATAGCTATATTTTCCTACAGCTATATTTTTATTTATAGTAACACAAACTTTTTAAATGGAAAGGTATGCACATATTAAAATTATATTTATGAAACTGTACACTTAAAATGGATAAAACTGTAAATTTTATGTTATGTATATTTTAACATGAAAAAAATTGTATTTACCATGAAAAATGAGTATCTAGTGTTTATTTCTTTTTTTTTGAGGAAGATTAGCCCTGAGCTAACATCCGCCACCAATCCTCCTCTTTTTGCTAAGAAAGGTTGGCCCTAAGCTAACATCCATGCCCATCTTCCTCTATTTTATATGTGGGGCACCTGCCACAGCATGGTTTGATAAGCAGCGCACCCTGGTCTGCACCCAGGATCTCAACTGGCGAACCCTGGGCCACCTTAGCTAAGCACGTGAACTTAACCACTACATCACCGGGCTGGCCCCAGAGTATCTAGCGTTTTGATTGGAGTCTCTAGGAACTGCTGATAGTTCATGGAAAGAGATGCACCCCCTTCCGCATAAGACGTGATACAACATGAACATCCCAAGTCTTTACTGCACCACGGGAATATAGAAGGTATAAATCCAATTTTTAAAATCGAGATAATTCACATACCAAAAAATTCACCCTTTGAAAGGGTACAGTGCACTGGTTTTTGGTGTATTCTGAGTTGTGCAACCTTCACTACTATCTAATTTCAGGACCTTCCTATCACCCTCAATACATTCCAG